TCGGCTCCCTGTCTCTCCCGTCGTGCTTGTCTGTCTGTCTGCGAGGCGTTCTCGTCCTGTCTGTCTGGCAGCGTAGGAGACCCGGGCTGGAGGGCGAGTCGGATGAGAGGATGGACAGAAGAGAAGAAGAGAAGGAGAAGAGCGGAAGAAGCAGAAGCAGAGGAAGAAGATGCGGAAGAGGAAGAAAGAGAAAGAGAAGAGGAAGAAGACAGCAAAAAGAGACGAGGAAGAGAGAGAAAGAGAAAAAAGACGCCAAGCCAAGAAAGGGAAGTAAAAGACGTTACAGACGGTGACGGCGAGAAGTGGGCGGGCGTTTGGTGGGGCGATACGCGGTGGTTTACAGCGACGATACGCTGATGATACAAGATGATACAACCATAAAGACGCCACTCAAGAGAGGAAGAGAAGGAGACGGCAGTAAGTAAGTAGAAGAAGTAAGTACTAAGCAAGTAGGTAGGTCTTCTTTGCTTGCTCCCTTCTTTGCCTCTTCGCTTCCACTGCCACTCTACTCCTTCTACCATCTTCTCTCCCACTTCCACTGCTTCTACGTCTTCTTCTCTTCTCTTCTTCTGCTGCTTCTTGACAGGCGCTTAAAGTGACTAAAACTAAACTAACTAAAAAGCCGAACTTTAAACTGCTTGCTTGCTTTTTTCTATTCTTAGCGATTAGTAAGCTTGTTAGTAAGCAGGAAGTTGGGGGCCGAGCAGAGAAGAAGCAGTAGAGAAGCAGAGAAGTAGGAGAGAAGAAGAACAGACAGTCACTTGCAGACAGTCACTCTGGCAGTCACTGCAGGACTCTAGCTACTTGTACATAGTCACTGGCAGTCGCTGTCTTCTTCGTCTTCTTCTGCTTTTCCTCCTTCTGCTTCTGACCTGCCAAGCCTTAGTCAGCACCCCTGGTCAAAACAGCCAAACTTACCCAAAGAAGAGCTTTTTCCCTTTTGCCCTTTTGGTTTCTCGTCTTCTTCCTGCTCCAACTTCGACGTCAACGTCAACTTTCTCGACTTCAACCTTCATCTTCGCCTTCACCTTCTCCAACTCCAGCTTCATCATCATCCTCTCTGCTGGTTCATCGCCATCCTTCATCAACCCTCGCTGTCTTCCTCGTCCTCTGCTCGCTGGGTAGGTTTGTCTTTGCTTACTCGCTTCAGTTTTTCCGGCCCGCTCTCGCTCGCTCAGGCTCTCCTGCTCCCTCCCGCCTCCCCATCAGCAGCCACCAAGGCAAAATCAACACACACGAGACAAGCCAGCGGGTAAAAGCGATCAAGCTCTTGATATCTGATGCCCTCCTCTTACTAGGCCCGCCCCTATCTTCCTTCGTCTCTCTCTCTCTATCTCTCTCTTTCGACTTTCTTCTGCTGCTCTCGTTGACGGCTTGCCTCGAGCGACTCCTGCGTCTCCCCTGACCTGCTCCCTGCTCCCCGGCGCTTCTACGGTCATCCTTTCATCCACACCCACCGGTCTTCCCCCCTGCCCTTAAAGCTGCCGTTCGCTGGCGGACTCCCTCTCTCCTCCTCCGCATCTCCCTCGCCCTCACTCGGCTTTCTCCATCTTCGGCTTATCCGACCATAATAATATACACGACAAGTCTCTAGCTGGTTTCCTTTTGGGCACTCTTGCGTTGGGTGATACCATGTCCCTTGCCCCGGCTCTGCATTAGCCTGTGTTTCAAAAGTCTTACCACCGTCAGCGTCGACTCGATCGACCCAAGACGAAAGGAAAACAACTACCGGACAAGAATTTTACAAAAATACATTAACAAGGAAAGAAAAAAAAAGGATAGAAGGGGAAGAAAGGAAGATGAGAGAAGTCAACTTTAGTATCCCCAGCGTCAACAAGGCGGCTGTCAACATCACCACTACTCTCTACGACAGACGGGCGCTCGACTGCACCTCGACCTTGCCACTCATCAACTCCCTTAACCATCTCGCCTATCTCACCACATCATCAGACCGCATCCGTGACATCCTCACCGTCGATGGCGGTATCGAACAGCTGGTATGTATCCTCAAGGCAGGTCGCAGCAAGGACCTCATGGAGATGTGGAAGTGGAACCTCGCCTTCCAGTGCGTCGTGAACATTGGTGTTCGTGGTTCAGAGAACGTTCGCACTCGCGTGGTAGAGGCCGACATGGTGCCCGTTATTGCTACCATACTCGATAACTACATCCGTGTCGTCGACCGGATACGCGCCTCTTCTTCGGCAGCCGCATCTACAGACCCAGAAGCCTCTCGCTCAAAACAGAGCAAGACTGCCATTAACAATACCTCCACGGCCACTTCAACTTCTACTACCTCTACCAGAAGAGATCAGCCCCCCAGAACGTCTAGAGCTTCGTTTTATGACCATAGATCAGACCAGCGGAACGCTCGGCGTCAGGCTCCTCCTCCTTCCATCGAGATTCCCCTTCCATATGCTCAGGATGGTCCGGAGAACAGCACTGCTACCACCACGGCTACCACCGCGGCCACTGCAGCCACAACTGCGACTACAGCCGCCACAGATGGCCGTCACAACAATCTACATACCCCCATAGACGTCCAGCCGTCTCCTCACATCGTCTTGACCTCGCCGCCTGAACGGACAACTTTCAACCATCATCACCATCATCATCACCAGCGAGAAGGTCATCGCCACCGTATCGTGCAGCCGCTCGCCTCTGCCACTGCCGCTACCACCACTACCACTGCACCTACTACTGACCCATTTAACCCTCTACGCCAGGCTAGGGATGTTGATCGCCTCCCTTCGGCCCTGCCAGGTCTCCAGGCCGGCATCACCTCCCAACCAGAATCTCCCACCACACCTCTTGGTGCAGGTGCCCCCCAGGCTAATATACCACCTCTCATGCCTCGCATCTTTCATCGCCGTCCTTCTGTCCGTCAGCAACGCTCCACCTCTGGTGAATCAGACGATGCTGATGCACAGGCCAGACGACAACGACATCATCATGGGCGAAGGAGATCTCGAAACCGCCAACGTAGACACCACAGAACAACAGCCCATCGTTGACATCGACAGCAGCGCCATAGATCTCGAGGACATCAACATGCAAGACCGTGATGCCATGCTCGACGATGCCAGCACCGTTAATGCTCCCACCAGGGCTGCCCAGACAGGTGGGCTCTCCGGTAAACGGTCACCCCAAACTTCACGCCCACGCTCGCAACCTAACGGCACCAGGCTCCTGGTGTCTTCAACAACCCCTA